GCCGGTCAGGCCGCCGCAGCGCTGCATTCTATGTCTGTCCTCCAAGTGCTACAGAGCGATATTCTCCGTGAGTGGGCCGAAAGCGGTAGAAACCCCTCCCCCGCTGTCACGGATCTGAGAAGTGCTACAGACCTCGCCCTTCGCGCCACTAAAGCCGCCGCACAAGCTCTGGGGAGATGCATGGCCAGCCTTTGTGTAGCCGAGAGACACTTATGGCTCGCGCTCGCCGACATGGGAGATTCTGAGCGCGCCGCGTTTCTTAACGCGCCCCTCTCCCCGACGGGCCTTTTTGGATCTGCTGTCACGGGAATCGTCGATCGCTTTTCCGAGGTCCAGAAAGCCACTCAGACCATGAATTTGTTTCTGCCCCGCCGCGCTAGCTCTTCCGCAGGCCGCTCTCGCGAGCCTCCTGCCAGAGCTCCACCATAGCGCCCCCCTCCGCAGACTCAAACAGCCCAGCGCAGACAGGGCGGCCGCCCTCGCTCTCGCTCTGACAGCCGCCGCAGACCACCGCCGCCCCCACGGGGCCCGCGACCCAAGATCACGCTGAAGCCTGATCATCAGAAGTCTGCCTAGCAAAGTTAAGAAAACGACGGTGCTCTCCCGCTGCGGCCGGACCGCCGTCAAAGCTTCGCCCTCTGCCAGTCCCCGTTGTTTCGCCGACTGCTGTAGTGTTGACCGCCACAAACAAGCCGGTGTCCCAGCCCGCTTGCGAGCAACAAAAAGCCGTTTTTACGGCTACCCAGAGAAATCTCAAAAAGAGAAAATTTGCCAGTTGTGTAGAAAATGTGCCCACAATCATGTGCTCACCCTTACACACAAGCATAATATATCCCGTGTCTCTCTCAGAGCCCCATCACATGAAACGGGCACAGCCCGCTCTAATATCAGAGAACATAAACACGCCCACGAGCTCGTGCGCGTGTCCCCTCTCTGCTCGCTCTGTTTCACGGCACATAGACTCCTCTCTTGAGTGCAAATCCCGTTGCCACACACATTCAAAGCGCGCCCACACACTGTGTCCAGCCCGCTATGTGCAGCAATCAGGGCGATATAGCCATTCGGCCACTAGCCGCATGCTCCAAAGCGTGGGAAGCCATTCCAGGCATTTCCCCGTGGGTGCTAAGCATTATAAAGAACGGCTATCTGCTACAGTTTCGCCGCCGCCCACCTCGTGCACGCGCGGCTTGAATCTACTGTCAGCCCGCTGGCCGCCGGCACGCTCCGCTCAGAAATTGCGACGCTGTTGCAAAAGGGCGCCATAGAGAGAGTCCCACCATCTATGACCGAGTCGGGGTTTTACGGCCGTTATTTTCTGGTTCCCAAGAAAGACGGCGACCTCAGACCGATTTTAGATCTCAGGTCTTTGAACAAAGTGCTCATGAAGAGACCGTTCAAGATGCTCACCACCAGGAAACTCCTCGCGCAGGTGCGCCAGGGGGACTGGTTCATCTCTCTAGACCTGAAAGACGCCTATTTTCAGATCCAGATAAATCCCCGTCACAGGCCATTCTTACGTTTCGCCTTCGAGGGTCATGTTTATCAATACGCCGTTCTCCCGTTCGGCTTATCCCTGGCGCCCCGTACATTCACGAAGTGCATGGATACGGCGCTCGCCCCCCTGCGGAGCCAGGGGCTGCGCATATTGAATTATCTGGACGACTGGCTGATTTTGGCCCAATCACAGACGGAGCTTCTGTCGCACCGCGCAGTTCTCCTCGACCATCTGAAAACGCTGGGCCTCTCTGTCAACTGGACAAAGAGCTCCCTTCAACCCAGTCAACCGATTTCCTTTCTAGGAATAGATTTGAACTCGGTCACGATGACGGCTCGCCTGTCTACACAGCGCGCGCGCAGTGTGCAGCGACTGGCCGCCTCGTTTCAGATGGGCACCCGCACACCTCTGAAAACCTTTCAGAGGATGCTGGGTTACATGGCCTCAGCCTCCGCTGTGCTTCAGCTGGGCCTTCTGCACATGCGCCCGCTTCAGCTTTGGTTAAACAGCCGTGTACCCCACCGTGCGTGGAACACGGGCCGCCAGCTGATCAGAGTTACGCAGACATGTCTCACGGTGCTGCAGCCATGAACAGTAGCAGAATGGTTTCGGCAGGGCGTCACGATGGGGACCTTTTCCCGCCGAAAAGTCATCACGACAGATGCATCCAACACGGGTTGGGGTGCAGTCTGCGAGGGCTCACCGGCCTTCGGCCATTGGTCGACACAGGAAAGCCCCTTACACATAAACTGTCTGGAAATGCTTGCGGTCGAGAACGCGCTCTCACGCTTCCTCCCGCTCATTCGGGGACACCACGTCCTGATCCGTTCGGACAACATGGCTGTGGTCTCCTATCTCAACCGTCAGGGCGGTGTCAGATCCAGGAATCTCTTCCTACTGACACACCGCATTTTAGTTTGGTCTCAGAGCCACCTGCTCTCGCTCAGAGCGACGCATGTGCCGGGCCATCTGAACGACGGTCCAGACATACTGTCCAGGAACCTCATCTCCTCAGGAGAATGGTCCCTGAACACACAAACGGTCCAAATACTGTGGCGGCTATTCGGCAGAGCAGAAGGGAGAACGCTCACTGCCCAATATTTTTCTCAAGGAGCGAGGACGCGCTAGCCCAGGAATGGCCTCGCCGCCCGCTCTATGCATTCCCTCCGATCGCTCTGCTACCACAGGTAATTCAGAGGATCAGGGACACACGCCACTCGGTGCTCCTCATAGCACATATTGGGAGAGTCAGAATTGGGTTCCGGAGCTCACTCAGCTGTCACAGACAGCCCCGTGGCCCATCCCAGTCAGAGCAGATCTCCTCTCTCAAGCTCGCGGCACGATCTGGCACCCCCATCCACGGCGCTGGGCGCTACATGCATGGGTGATCAACGACTATTCGTCGATTTGCCAGAGGGAGTAAGAAACACTATCATACAGGCTAGAGCACCTTCCACGAGAAGGCTCTATGCGTCTAAATGGTCTGTGTTCTCGAAATGGTGCACCGACAAACATCTGGACCCACGGTCATGCGAGGTGCCGTCTTTGCTTGTCTTCCTTCAAGAGATCCTGGACAAGGGCAGGTCCCCCTCCACTCTCAAGGTTTACGTGGCAGCCGTCGCGGCGTTCTCTGAACCCCGACGCGCTCAGTCCCTGGGCAAAGACGAGTTAGTCATCCGCTTCCTCAGGGGAGCTAAGAGGATGAACCCTCCGCGCCCCCCTTCGGTTCCTATCTGGGATCTTTCTATAGTTCTCGAAGCTATGAAAGCACCCCCGTTCGAACCGTTTGAGTCTGTGGACCTAAAATACCTCTCGCTCAAAACCGTTTTTCTGACGGCTCTGTCCTCTGTAAAACGCGTGGGGGATCTTCACGCGCTCTCATCCAGCGCCGCGTGTCTTGAGTTTGGACCGAATGATTCTGTTGTCATTCTCAAACCTAGACATGGCTATGTCCCGAAGGCGATTGGTACCCCGTTCAGGGCTCAGATTATTTCCCTATCGGCTCTGCCTTCATCCGATAGTGAGCGCGACGCCAATCTCCTCTGCCCGGTGCGGGCTCTGAGATTGTACACTACGCGCGCTGCCGCGTTCAGACGCGCTGAGCAGCTTTTCGTGTCGTTTGGGGGGCGCACCAAAGGTCTGGCCGCCTCTAAACAGACACTGTCTAGATGGATAGTAGACGCTATCGCCTCTGCTTACGCATCTAAATGCCTGCCCTGCCCTCTGGGCATCAGGGCGCACTCCACTAGAGGCATGGCCTCATCGTGGGCATGGTCCTGTGGAATTTCCATTCATGACATTTGTGTGGCCGCAGGATGGGCCTCCCCGTCCACTTTTGTCAGATTTTACAACTTGGAAGTTCCCGCCTTGCAGGCAAAATTACTAGCTGTCTAACGACCAGCTCCCTAAGAAGCTGCATTACTGGGAGTCCCTCACACAACCGGTTCGCCCCTTGTGCTCTCCTTAAATGCTTATGTATATACTTCATGTGCCCGCTCTGCCGGCCTCATACTACATTCACTCCACGTTAAAAATCCCCCGGTATCACCCTGGGATTCATGAGTGGATTCATAGCGCGCACGGCGTTGACCAGGTGTTCCCGCAGCGTAAGCTACCTTACGCAATACGAGAGAACCTCTCGTAAGAGAACGAATCGGTTACCTAACGTAACCTCGGTTCTCTCTAGAAGAGGGAACGAGTATTGCGTTCCCGGCCGTGCTTGCGCTACTAGCGTTTCGCTTCACGCTGAAATAAATCAACATATAAGCCTGGGAGAGACTGTTATATACACCATAGCCACGCCCATTCTGGCGGGCTATGATGCAATGAGCGCGCGGGCGCCTCTCATTGGAAGCGGGTTCAGCCCCGCTCTCCCATAGGCTTAAGCAGTTCTCTCTGAGCGAACCAATGAGCTGCTAGCTAGCCTGCTCTAGGTCTGCCGCAGAGGAACTGCGTTGTCAATGGATACAAATTATGAAATAATTTTTTGGCTTCAAACTCTCAGCAAAGATGAATCTTTCCCGCAGCGTAAGCTAGCTTACGCAATACTCGTTCCCTCTTCTAGAGAGAACCGAGGTTACGTTAGGTAACCGATTCGTTTCCATCTACAATTATCATTCACAATATTATCAATGTCTGAACTGTATTTGTGATTGATTAATTAGAAGTTTTTGTAATGGATCAATCTTTGTTTTTCTATGAAAAACAAGGAAAATTTTAAGTGATCCGAAACATTTGAACGGCAGTATATAGCCTATAGTCTACTTTTTTTAATTAAAAACTTTCTGAAATTAGAAATGTTTAAGTGCTAAAATTACTAAAACTGAAATAAATGAAAGATAAATACAAATAAATAAAAAATAAATTATATAATAGTATATAAATAATACTAAAATAACATTTTTAATCCTTTAACTTTTATGTAAATATGTATATGCTCATTATATGCTCAAGAATATGTATATTGCTGTAAACTAAAAATATATCTGTGTATTGTGTTGAACAGGTGATAAGGTCATTCCACTCTCGGTCTCTCAGTGTGGAGAATGCAGATTCTGCAAGTGTCCAAAAACAAACCAGTGCGACCGCAACTGGTGAGAAACAAACACAAAACAACGTTTCACATACTCAATTTCTTGCTTTTTAGAAAAATAAAATAAAAATTCTCTGGCAGGACAAGTAATTATCATGACAGCACAATTAACAAACTGTCACATTTCATCCTTTTTTTTTTTTTTTTTTTTTTTTTTGACAGGATAAATAAATATGTTGATTTTATGTCATATCCCACAACACGTTTTACTTGCCGTGGTCAGCCCATCTTGCAGTTCACAAGCACCGGTACTTTCTCTGAGTACACCGTCATGAACCAGATTTCTGTGGCAAAGATTCATGATGATGCTCCACTCGACCGTGTGTGTCTTCTCGGCTGTGGCGTAGCTACTGGCTACGGCGCTGCTGTCAACACAGCTGGGGTGAGTATAGAGACTCAAGAAGCATATATACACTTACCATTTTTGATCTGTCAAAGAAAACCATTCTAAACAAAGCAAAAGCAGAATCAACAGTTGTTAGTGTCTGAGAAACTCATTAATTAATCAATGTTTGAGTGAATCAGATATGTATGTGGATGATTCATGACTCATCCCCACCTCCGAATATGATTACTTCCCTAATATTATGCAAAAATCTGTAGGCTACATGAAATGAGTAGCATGTAATTTACAGTATTCATAAACAATAGGGGGAAAATACCTGCATGACCTAGACCTAGGCTACTACTTCCAACAGGATTCTAAAGTGCACATCCATTGTGATATTTCTTTACTGTAAAAAAAAGAAAAGAAAAAAGTTTAATAATCCTGAGAGAAAATTACCAGTAGCCTATATTTCCAGTTAAGTTTACGGACATTTCCTTCAACCCTAAAATACTACACACTGCAATGCGCAATTCAAAATATGAGTAAAATCTATGAAAAATCAATAGATCAACAGAAAATTCCTTTATATTAACTGGAACATATTTTTACAGACCTTTTTTAGAGTGTAGATTTCTAGTTGTATTAGAAGAATTTAAAATAATTAAAAGAAGAGAAATCAATAACTGCATGCATTTTGCGGGGGAAAAAACGTTGTGCTTCAGCTCTCTGGATGAATATGGTTCTTTCTCATAACTAAAAAAAAAAAAAGAGAGAGAGATTATCCTACTGCTCATAACACATTTACTATTAGGTTTAAGAGATATAACCAGTTAAGATGGAAAGGATCTCAGGCTGACTAGCAGAAGACGTTATTGTAGCTATAGCCTACCCATTAATAGACAAGGTATACTTCCTTGAAAATAAATTCCAGCACAGCGCAACAACCATAATGAAATGACCAATTCATAATAGATCATGCTTTACAATGAACTGTTAGATGTCAATTTATCGGTCCAATAAAATACCTTATCTGGTGAGTAATAAAAGCGCCATCTTCGCGTCGCTTTCACAACATTCCTAATTCCTCAGCTCACTTCATCTCCGAAAAGCCAAGCCAATGTTGATTCTCGTTTTGTTACGAGCTATGTCGCGTTCTTTTGCCAGCAGACTCTCCTCTGTTCAGCGTTTATTAAAACAGTAGATTCCCAGAGGATTGAGATTTAGCGTGCTCCATATTATAAAACGTCCTTGCTTGTTGCGACCATAAAAATGCCTCATTAGCAGCTGTTTCTATGGGCAGCTATACGTAAGCCATCCGCCATATTGGAACGGTCAAAGCCGGTCCATGAACATTCAAGAACAAGTTGACAGTATCTGCAACCGTAGTTAGACATGTATGAATGTATCAGCATAGTCTTCAGCAGATGATTTTGCTAAACTAACACAATACAAGACAAAGGTCTCAGCTAACACGACATTAAAAGGTTACCATAGTAAAAGTAAAAACATTAAAAAGCACCGTAGTAAAAACCTGTTAATAGATATAAAACAAACATTCTCACCTGTGAAAGGTTATTCCATTTCTTCAGGAATTTAAATCTCGGTGGTTTCACCATAGACATGTACACGTAGATTGCACATTCGACCACTCCAGACCATAGACTGTCGTGCATGTCGTCACTCATAGTTTCAATCAATGATGCCACAGCATTGCGCAGGTTCTGGTTGTGAAACCGCAGAGATTTAAATTCTTAAAGAAATGGGACAACCTTACATAGGTGAGAATGTGTTGGTTTGTCCTAATAGTTTTATTTATTATTATTATTTAGTTTTTTTGTGGCTTCTGTGGAGTGTTGAGGTGCATTACAATAGTGATTTGTTTGTGTTTGTGTGAAGGTTACACCAGGCTCTGTGTGTGCAGTGTTTGGACTGGGTGCAGTAGGTCTGGCTGCCGTCATGGGCTGTAAAAACGCCGGAGCCTCTCGCATCTTTGCTGTGGATATTAATGAACAGAAGTTTGAGAAGGCGAAGGTCTTTGGTGCCACTGATTTTCTGAATCCAAAAGCATATAGTAAACCAATCTCTGAAGTACTGGCAGAAATGACCAATGGAGGAGTGGACTTCTCACTCGAGTGTGTGGGAAACATGGAAGTAATGGTAAGACCTCACTGACACGTACTCTACACTACAGTATGTTAAAAGCTGTATTTATGTACTTATTTAAAAGCTTTCAGAACTTGCAATCTCTCTCTGTTTGACCTCAGAGGAACGCACTGGAGTCGTGTGTTAAAGGTTGGGGTGTGAGTGTTATGGTTGGCTATACTGATGCAGACTTTTCTGCAAAACCAATTCAGCTCATATCTGGGAAAACCTGGAAGGGAACTCTATTAGGAGGTAAACCATCTGTCAGTTAATGCTTTCTATGGCTTTCAAAGTATATGCATGTGCATGGATTCATTTCTAATTATGTGAATAAGGTTTTAAGGTCAAGGACTCTATTCCAAAACTGGTTCAAGACTACATGTCCGGCAAAATAAAGGTTGACGAGTTTATAACACACAAAATGGATCTGGAGGAGATCAATGATGCCATCAACCTCATGAAAACTGGACAATGGTATATTTCTCACCTTTTTTTGTTTCTCAAGTTAATCCTGTCGAAGTTAACAATTTTTTCTGTCTTACAGCATTCGATGCATACTGAAAATATCCAAATGAGAAGCAAATTATCTTCACCCAACTTCTACACCAGTTTAAGACAGATGGGAATGGATTGCACAGACTTAGCATACAACCTTAATACTACTTTAATATACTGTAACTATTTCTGAAAGATGTGGAACTAAAATGATGGATTGAATCTTGTACTCCAGTTCTGCATGGCAAGAAATTTAATTGTTTCACCAAAAGCAACAACAATTCAATACAGAGGAACTTCTTGAATTATCTTTTCACCTGCTTTCATAAGTCATTGTTGAAATTGCATTCTGTTGTGATTGCTTGAAGTTTGGCATTTGTTGTACATTAAAAAAACTAACAAGTCCAAATAAAGGAGAAAATATACTTTAATTCAGCTTGAATACTGAAACACTGTAATTGATTCCATGAGATGCATCAAACTGACAAAGAGGCCTGCAACTGTTTTTTTGACTTTCGCATTGCTCTTTAAGTGGCATTAAACAACCAAAGACAAACAAAAATCATCTCGTCATTGACTAAGGAGGACTGCAGTGAGAGGACATTCAGAAAGGCCATCCTCTCCCCATCACAAAACATAATTACACCATTGTACCTAACCTAATGTTTCCCTAGGTGACATTCTCACTCAAACTGGATTGATTTAACTGAACCTTATTAACGCTGGTAGAAGTTCATGAAAAACATTTGTACAATGTTCATTATCATTACGAGGCACTCTTTCAGCTGTAAAGAGTTTTCATATATCAATCTTGATTTGATAAGGTTTGGAGAGACTCCACAGGGTTTTATCACATACACTCGTTGCATCTCAAACCTCAACAATGGCTTACAAAACAGACCCGGTACACTGCAACGAGCCAAGGCATACAAACACACTGAAGCAGACTGAGACAGCAAACCTCACACAGCCGACACACTCTCATAAACACACAGGTGCGTACACGCAAAACCACTCACGCAGATACCTCTGCCTTGTAGACAGAGTATGGTGGCACTGAAACCAGGCTAAAGGCCAGTGCCTTTGAATTTTCTCAGATCCAAGCTGAATAATGTGACTGCCAGGTGACACATTCAAAAGTTACCAAATCTCCATCTCCTGCCCAAATCCACTGATATGGCCACTTGGCCAATCATCTCCTGCCCAACAGAGAACCACAATGTGATTGGCTGATTGGTGATATGGGGCAGAGCTGCTGTATCCTTCACTGCACAACAGGGCTGATATAACCCTACCATCCTACATTTGGGACAGGAAGTGGGCACGGCCATTATCCTCAAGGCGACGTGTGAGGATCTCACAGCCAGTCTCCGTCACGAGGAGCGTGTGCTCAAACTGGGCCGAGCGTTTGCCGTCACGAGTGACTGCAGTCCAACCATCTGGCCACGTCTCATCTTGCCAACCACCTGCACAGAGCAAAGACTCTTTACTAATCAATTGATTATAATATTTAGTCTACTTTTTTTTAATAGTTAACAGTATGTTGAAGGAAAGAAAACTTGTGCAGTTGATGGGTTCAGCAATTTGTTTGCATGATACACAAGAATATTGTAGGTATACAAAATGAAATAGTTAAGTTATACCCAACCATTCAAAAGTTTTTACTGACAAGATTTTTTTTTTTAAAAGTCCCTTATGCTCACCAAGGCCACATTTATTTGAACAAAATACATTAAAAACAGTAATATTGTGAAATATTATTATAATTTAAAATAACTATTTTCTATTTTTAATATATTTTATAATGAAATTCATTCCTGTGATGACAAAGCTGAATTATCAACAATATGTTCTGATTTGCTGCTCAAGAAACATTTCTTATTATTATCAATGTTGTAAATAGTTGTGCTGCTTATTATTTTTGTGAAAACCATGATGTTAACTTTGACAGCCTTACTTTTTAAACATTGTTCTTACCTTCGCAGATCATGGGCTCTATAGTAAACACATGTCCAGGCTTCATCACTCCAACTGCTTTATTCTCTGTAGAAATACATAAAACAAGGACAGTACAAGCTTTATGAGTGTTTGCAAACTCTGCAGATTTAATCACATCACAGTGTGCAATGTTTGTATCACTCAGACTGCGTCAAACTGGACGAGATGTTACTCACTGGCATAGTGCGGTACGTTTGGTGCCGTGTGGAATAGTTTGTGAATGCCGTGACCACAGTAGCTCCGTACCACAGAGAAACCATTGGCCTGGGCATGTTTCTGGATGATGTTCCCTAGCTCACGATACCGAATACCAGGCTTTACTAGACAAGACAGCAAAAAAACACCTCAGATCACAACAAAGACATCCCGCTGTGCAAGTCTGCCCTCTAAAGGTCATTAGTGTACATCCCATCAGACAAACACTGTACACTACATCACCTAGTCCAAATAAAATGTCGAATTCACATAGCATGGGGTCTGTTGAATTGTTTAGTGCTTGTTTGCAAGTAGTTTAATTCTCACCAGAGTCGATGGCTTGCATAAGACATTCATAAGTGGTCTGAACCAATCTCTTGGCTCCCTCATCTACTTCACCCACAAAAAAAGTTTCATTCAGATCTCCATGGTAACCATTGTGGTAAACCGTTATATCGACTGCAGGGGAAAAAATAACATATGATTGGTCAAGTGAGCATGTAATATGAAGTGCAATTCAACTTAAGTCTGAATGTTTTTCTGTTACACAGGACTGCAGAAAACTACACAGTGACGCATAACGATTTGATTATGCATTCAGCTAAGATCATGATCATAAACTGAGCAGGAGGAAAAAACATCAGTCTGGACACTGCCAATGCATTTACAGAAAAGTGAAAATGTGTTCACGCACAGATCTCTAATGCCTAGTAAATGTGTAGCTGACATCTGAACTAACTGAAATATGTCATATATTTTACATTTAGAGGGAGAGTGTGTATATTCTTTTAAAACGGCATTCTTGGAGGCAAAAATGAGATCTCCTGTGAAATCTTGCAAGTAAGATGCATGTATATACTATATGTGCACATGCATGCTGATACATACTGTTCAGTATGTCCCCGTCTTTAAGGAGACGGCGGTCAGGTATCCCATGACAGATGACTTCATTGACCGAGGTGCAGCAGGACTTGGGAAAGTTGTAGTAGTTCAGAGGAGAGGGGTAGCAGTTCCTCGCTGTACACGCCTTAACCAGTAAACATGGAGACACCACATTAGCATCAACACAACACAACACACAATATGGCCATATACAGGCAGCACTACTCAAACCATAACAAAAGTAGAGTTTACAAAAGCAATCTATGTATTCATTAAGAATATTTTCAAATAATTGTCAAAATTATGCTCTTTTTTTCTAGAAGGAAACTAGCAAAAAGTAGTACAGCACGAACCATGACATTTAGAGCAGTGGTTCTCAGTCAGGGGTCCGATGCCCACTAGGGGGCCTCAGCAAACTTCCAGGGGACCCCAAAATGTCTTTAAATGATTTAAATTTAGTTATATTAACACCAATTATAGTTATATTATACTAAAAGTTAATCGAAATGAATATGCTAAAAAAACAAATATGTGCAATAATAAACTGACATATTTTTTAGTTTATTCATTATTATTATAACAAAAGGACCAGGCGTACTTTTTTGAGTCAAAAAGGTAAAGAACCACTGGTTTAGAACAAATAAAAGAAAAATTTGAAATTTCCATATGACGGCATCAGCAATTTCACATTTCCCCTTAGCTAACCAGTATTTAAACTTAATGCATTGATCAGACTACTTTGTAATATTTAAAGAGAAAAGTTTGTGAAGTTTTACCAAATGCACCGCATGGTCGATCTCCTCTGTTGTCAATCCAGGTTTCACCATCATGGCAGCAATGTCAAGTACTTCTCGAGCCAGCTGAAGGAGGAAACTGGCATGTGTAAATTTCAGAACATCACCCCCATCTTGATTTCCTTGCAGTGGTTGCATTTTAACTTTGTTTTTTAAATCATTACATAATCTTGCACCAGTCTATCTTGCTGAGTTGTGCGTCCGCACAAATCATCGCAACCACTCAGATCGGGAAGTTTAAGAAGGTGATCAAGCATTTGCTATTGCTCATCCAACACTCAGGAACTTCTTTCAGTTTTTAAATCTATGCTAAAATCCTATTTATTTGAACAGATGATGTTAGTCTAAAATATAAGTTAAATAGGTCTATTATATTGCTTTGTAAATTTTTTATATTTAATTCATTTGTTTTTCTCTTATTCTATGTAAAGCACTTTGGTCAACCCATGGTTGTTTTTAAATGTGCTTAAGAAAGAAACAAAGAAAGAAAGAAAGAAAGAGTCTTTATAGTCAACAATTCAAATCTCTCCTGCTCATGATAGACATGATAGGCCGACACTAGCCAATTTTTCAGCTGATTTGCATAAAATGTGTGAATTTATCTTGTTTTTCTGAGGTTCTCCCACACATAAATGACTAATTAAATTTAAAAAAAAAACATTGAAGGCAGAACAAACAGCAGCAGAGCAATTAGAAGTTAAATAGAGGCAGAAAAATGTCTCACCCCATGCATCCTAATTAAATCTATTACATTTGTTTACACATCAGTAGTCCTGTTTTTATTTCGGTAACCTTTAAGCTGATTTGCTAAAACTGGTGCATTGCATTACATGACAGGCAATTGAAACATGAAAAAAAAATCATTTTTACGTTAGTTTATGGGACACCACTCAGAATAAAAATCCTAACATAGGACAATCTTTCTTGAATTGTATTCTGGATGTTACACACATTAACAACGTAATTCTATTCATTCAGGTACAACACAAAACTAAAGTTAGTTCATTAACTATACAGATTCCTGTTCTCTAATATTGTACTATCCCTGACTCTCACAACAACACCCAAAACTGTCACATTTCACAGTTATTATTCTGCATGCAAAGTTATTATTTGTGGAGTTATGATGTTGATTTACCTTGCAGACAACTCTCATGCCCTCAATCTCTTCAGCGTTGAGGATCTTAATCTGAGACGTCCCTTTCATGGTCTGCTCTGACTCTGACATTCCTGAAAGACGTGATGAATTTGTGAATTGGTGAGCAGTAAAATACACTGATACCCATCTACCCACAAAAGCATCTTACTATCACTCATATATATTGACTAGCTCTGCCTACTGACCTTCACCACAACAGAATCTCAACAGCACAGTCTCCAGTCAGCTAATGAAGATAACATAACCACTTCTTAGAGACAAACACACACACACACACACACACACACACATGGTCGCTGATCTAGTGAGGTCTAGGACATGACAGTTTGGCAATGATGTGATCACAGACAGTTCCTGCTGGGGCTGGGCGGTATGACTATATATTCTGTGGCGGTAGAGATAG